AGCCCCGATTTGCTATATATATATATATATATATATATATATATAGAAAATATGAGTATCAAACTACATTGCTGTTTTTCTTTTTAACAAGTGTATGACCAGTTCTAAATAAAAAACATTGTTTTCAAATACATCTTTATCTTCGTTTTGAAATTCTTTGCTTGTTCTATCAATAAATGGGGTTGTCAATTTAAATTATTTTAAATGAAATATATTATTTCAAATAGGCATTCGCTTTTAGTAAAAAAGGACCCGGAAATTTTTTAAGTCCTGGGTTCTGAAGACTCGTCGTTCCAAATTCTAGCTGAAACACTGAACGCCTAATTAAACTCTATATTTCTTCATTGACCCATCAACTGAGAGAGTTAGAAACTAAACATAATATATTTATTTTAGACAAAATTGCACGCTATCGCTGCTAACAGGAATACCACGACAAATTGATTTTTTTATAAATCTTACCTTCAATGAGTGCGGGTATCGTTGCTAGGAATGAGAGTATTACAAAGGGGTGGATATTTTCCATCTTTAATTGTCAACGCGACTAAAAATAGTATGACATATTCTTGACATTGAAGTAATTCAACTTCCGAAACTATCAAAGGAAGTAATTGATCACGTGGACTTGAAGAACCGGAAACCTGCTTATCGTTTCTGATGTCTACTCATTTGAAATACATCCTGAATTTTTAGATAAACAAACGGACAAAACCTACGATTTCGATTAAAAATTAAACAAATTATGCTAAGAATAGCATAGATTTAGAAAATTCTAAAAATCAAAAAAATAGGAATTTTTTTTCAATTTTTATACAAAAATAAGTAAAAAGTCATTAATATTGTCTAACTATTAAAGAAAGGTTAAAAATGTAAATGCGACCGTAATACTGTCAAGTATGATCAGAGAACAAAGAAACTGCCAAGAATGTTGATAAGATCTTGTAGTTTAGAGAGAAGAGAGTACAAACTTTATTTATCTTTTATAATGGAAAGGAAATGTTCTGTTGTAAGTATTTTTAACTTTCTAAATAGAATGGAAATCATTCTGGAATTCTTTGAAACTTAGAATAATAAAGGCTAATAACATAAAAAGGTTTTAAATGGGCAGGGTTACAAGAGCTCTTTAAATAATTCAGTAGTAATAACGGACAAGAGAAAAACCTCGCTCACTTAAGGGGTCGGGAGAGTTTTACCCTAACAAAACTTTAGAATTATTTTTTAAAAAAATATTTAATGAACTGTTTTATTAAGAGTTATTATTACATAATTGGTGTTTAATTATTATAACCAAGTAAAAGATCATATTCAAAAACTTCTCAAATTACACCACTCAATAAAAACAGAAAATATCTTACCCATAGCAGCTAACTTGTACAGCCATTGAGAAAAAATTTTCTTAGTGGTATGATCATTATAGAGTCTTGAACATTAAATCTCCCATTTAAAAAATTAACTAATCTCCCATTTAAAAATTAACCCATTTAAAACTCGAATGATTCCCATTAAACTGGGAATCATTCGAGTTTTGTCTCAAAGTTATTTATTCAAAGACTGGTCATAATAAACATGTTTTCCTCAAATCAAATTTTTTCACCTGGTGAGCAAGATCAAAAGTTGGTTATTTAGTATTGGTTAGTTGGTTACTAAGTTAAAAGTTGGTAATTGATTTGAGTATAGCATAATTCTTAAACTCGTATACTATATATATATATATATATATTTCTTGGTTTTTTTTCTTAAAATAAAACTAAAGCC